GCATCCCATCTAGCAGATAGAAGAGCTCCAAAGGGCTTTTCTCCCCCAAACGGGAGACTATTATAAGCAGAAGGGGCCAGGGACAAAGAAAGAGTGGATTACCTCATTTTTCTTTGGGATTGGAAGGTGTGTATCAGGAGAATTACTTCACTAGTGCTGTTCAGGAAATTCAGATTTATTGGTTTAAGGTTACTTTCCTGGGGGAGGTTGAAACTGCACTTAGGTTTAGGTATTATGTCTCAGTTTGGTGATGTGAGCTTTAGCACCAGTGACTACATTTTGGATTTGTTGTCTCTTTTTTAACACCTCATACCCTTGCAAGACATGAGAAATGTGTGATTAGGGTTGCTGTTTCTCCCAGCATATGACACAGACATAACCCCAGAATGAAAACTGGTCATTGAATTCACAGAAAACAAACAAACAAACAAAAAAAATATTTTTACCTCTTTTTTGAAGTATGACTTCTACTATAAGGAGAAATATAAAATAATAGACTCTCAAATATTCTGCTGAGACATTACAATATTCTTTTATTCAATCTAGTAGAGACTGCTTGGCTGAAGCCATAGTTTACAATTACTATATAGGCCATAAGGATTAGAATGAACTTTCCATTATGAGCCACTAATATCTTTTTACATTTTTTATTTTTTTATTTTTAAAGATTTTATTTATTTATTTGACAGAGAGACACAGTGAGAGAGGGAACACAAGCAGGGGGAGTGGGAGAGGGAGAAGAAGGCTTCCTGCAGAGCAGGGGAGCCTGATGCGGGGCTCGATCCCAGGACCCTGGGATCATGACCTGAGCTGAAGGCAGATGCTTAATGACTGAGCCACCCAGGCGCCCCCACTAATATCTTTTTAATGCCTTGATCAAATATATAATATTTCCACAACCTTTTCAAACTGTATGTATGTATGTATGTATTTTAGAGAAAGATGGGGGGAGAGGAAAAGAGAGAGGGAGAGAGTCTTAAGTAGGCTCCATGCCCAGCTTGGAGTCCAATACAAGGCTCAATCTCATGACCCTGAAATCATGACCTGAGCCAAAATTAAAAGTCAGATGCTTAACTGACTGAGCCACCCAGGTACCCCTTTCCAACTGGTTTTAAAATTTGGGGAAGTAACTCAATTTTTTTCTGAATATAATGATGCACCTCCCATAGCAGAGTGACTGCTATTACATATTAATATTCTCATTGTGCTTTAATTATAACTAGAGTTCTTAAATTATACCATACCTCTATATAAAAACTAACCAATTACTCTCTTTTTAGGACTGAACAGTATGAGAACTTTGATGTCTCAGAATATTCATTGAAAAATTCTAATGCTGAAGAATGTTTTCATAAATTTCGTTTTGGATACAAACCCTATGGTCTTTAATAATAAAATATTTTTATGTAAAGGAAATATCCTATAAGCATCTATTAACATGTTTGATAAAATAAGGAAAATGGAAAATATATCAGCTACTTATAAAAAAACACAGATTATATTACTAACCACTAAATACCCTGAAATCTAAGAAACGGAGGGAATCAACAACTCTAATAATATTTATCAATATAAATATTGTACCAAATACAGAAAAATTTAGGGCTTATTAGAGCAGTGGTTATTGACATCTTTTCATTCTCAGACCTCTGAGTAACTCGTAAAAATTACTGAATGAGTTACAGGATAAATTCTTATTCACACAAGCACATAAAGTTTCATATAAATTTCAAGAGGTTAATGAACAGATTGAGAATCCCCTTTAAAATAAATTTATTTCTTTTATTTCTTTTATTGCTTATTTCTTTGGAATGTTTAGGCATATTCTTAGCTTTTTATTCCTACCATATTTAGTCATGCATTGTGATATAAATACAAATTGACATACATCATATATGTAGTATGTAGGGGACAAAATAAAGCCCCTAAAAAGAATTTATAGTCCAATTACAACAGGTGGTCAACTACAAAGTTAGAGGGCAAAGTCTCACAAAAGTCCTTTACTTTTAATACCAGTTGCAAATTTAGAGTTCCCCAAACCACCCTCAGTTTCCATAGTTCACTGGTACTCTACAACTCACTGAAAGTTTTTGTAAATGATTACTGTTCATTACAGGAAAAGGATATAGGGTAAAATAAACTGAAGGCAGAGATAAATCAGGGAGAATCCATGAGGGGTGAAAACATGAAACTTCTTGTCATCTCTCTGTAGGAGTCATGGACAGTGTTCCTTCCTCCTGGACACAATACACATAGAATATTGCCAAACAGGAAAGCTTACCTGAATCTTTAGTGTTGATGATTTTAATTGGGATTCTATCACATCCAGTCTACCTGGTTGAACTTTGGTTTCCAGACCCTCCTGGAGGTCTGACTAATCAGTTTCTCCAGGGGTTAAGACTGATACCAGATGAACCAAAGCCCCCCATTGTAGGAAACAGAACGCCACAACGACCACTGGTGCATATTCATTCAGACTCCAAGATCTCTGAGAAAACTCGAGATTGCAGGATTAAAAATAACCCAAAAGGATCAGAGTGAAATGCCCTTGGGATGTGTGTGGTCAGCATAAAGTACACCCCAGAAGATGTTTTGTAGATAGGAAGCCAGCTGTAAACAGCACACCCTGCATTCCCTTCTTTGTTCTCTTATCCTGTGTTAAGGTCCGAGTACAATGGTGTTTACCATTAATTGATCACAGCCAGTTACAGGTTTCTTTATTCCTTCTCCACTCCCACTGCTTCACTTAACTAACCCTGTGTACGTGGAAGAATGTGCCTTACTAAACCCCTGCTGTAAATCATTATAGACCTATGTCATTGTAGAAGGTATATTAGACTATGGAAAATAAACCTCGGGACCTCGGACTGTTAGCTCTGGGACCCTGTGCCTCGCTATACTGTCATCTCTTTTCCTCAGTTCCTTCACCGCCCCAGGTCCCCAACTCTCAGAGGTCGACAAGTGGCACCCAAACAGGGACCTGAAGCCCCCATCGAGGAGTGATCGGCCAGTGATAGGAACCCTACAGAAGGTGGTAAGTAGGAAAGTTTATTACAGGGTTATGGGGCAATCAAATTTGAAAGCCTCAGGTTTTGCTGCATTAATATATCATTTTCTTAAAGAATATGGAGCTAAAGTTACTAAGCAGTGCATAGAAAAGTGTTTGGAAACAGTAGTTGAATATAATCCTTGGTTTCCGGAAGAAGGCTCCTTAGATGAGGAGACTTGGGTCTGAGTGAAAAATAATGTCTTGAAGGCTATGAGACAGGGTGAAACGATTCCCCTTGATTTCTGGCCCATTTGGGTTTTAGTATGAGTGGTGATCAATACTATGGAAACTGGGGATAATTTATCCCCGGCTGAGGTTGCTAAAGAAACTACCAACTCTTTACATACATATGAATTAGACAATGAGACTTTAGAAAAGGCTAAGACTGAATGTAAAATAATTTTCGCAGCTTCACAGTCCTGGCCGTCACCCACGGCCCCTCCACTTTTCATGGAGGACCCCGCTGAAGATGATCAACCTCCCTCCATAGTAGATTTATTTTCTCTTAAACGATCCTCCCTAGCTCTCTCACCTCTCGAGAAGGAACTCCGATGGCAAGGGGCTGATGATCTATTTATGGCTTTCCCCATAGACCGAACACAAGCTGCTGGTCCCGTCTATGAGGGATTAGATTTAAATGCTTTAAGGGAACTAAAGAAGGCTTGCCACTCATATGGACCCACAGCCCCTTACACTATAGAGATTTTGAAAGCTTGGGCAAATTCTGGGGAGTGGATCCCTCATGACTGGCATATGGTTGCACAGGCTTGCCTTAAGCCACAAGATTTATTACAGTGGAAAATGTGGTTATTGGATGCTGCCTATATGAAAGCCCGGGTGAATCGGGCTAACCCAGCCATGCATCATATTTCTTTTGAAATGCTCACTGGCTCTGGCCCCTTTTTTGATGTTCGAGAGCAGTTGGTTAACACCCGGCCTGCAGCCACAGCTCAGGTATCTGAAATTGCCCTCGCAGCTTGGGGAAAGTTAACCCCTTCAGGGGAAGTGGGGCAAAGTTATATAAAAATCGTGCAAGGCCCTACAGAAGCATATACTGATTTTATTTCTCGGCTCGGAATGGCTATTGACAGCTAAGTAGATAATAAACCTGCTAAAGAGCACTTGCTAAGACAGCTTGCTTTTGAAAATACTAATGAGGACTGCCAAGCGGCCATCCAGCCACATAGAGAAACAGGAAACATTCCTGAATATCTTCGTCTATGTAGAAATATTGGCACTCTTACACATCAAGCTTGGATAGCTTCCCTTCAGCTCATGGCCCTACAAAAACAACAGGATATAAAATGTTATAACTGTGGAAAAATAGGACATGTCAAGAAAGAATGCCGTAAAACCCCCCAACCTAGATCCAATTCTCCTTTTAATACCACCCCTAGCCTCTGCCCTCATTGTGGCAAAGGCAAACATTGGGCCAAGGAATGCAAATCCAAATTTGACAGGCAAGGTAACCCACTTCCATTAAGGTCCGGAAACAGGATGTGGGGCCACCCCGGGCCCCGAACAACAACGGGGGATTCAATATGTCACCTCTCCAGCAGCAACTTCCTGCTGCGCACATAAACCCTCCGTGTTATCACTCAGTCCCTCCACCCAGGGAAGTGCCGCAGTAGATATTAACAACTCCTTTTACAGTAAGTCTTCACCCTGGTCTTGGGCCTCAAAAACTACCCACAGGTTATTACAGACCTTTACCAAGAGGAACTGTGGGTCTTGTGCTAGGAAGATCTAGCCTAAATCTCAAGGGAATCCAGGTGATGACTGGAGTAGTAGATTCTGACTATGAGGGAGAATAATGGTGGTCGCACAGACTCGGGTTCCTTGGACTTTTAAGGGAAGAGATAGAATTGCTCAGTTATTATTATTGCCCTATGTACAAATTGGTCAGTCCCAATAGATCAGATGAGGAGGATTTGGTAGTACTGATCCTCTCATGGTTAAATGGGCTTCATTATTGACTCAGACTGATCGTCCTTCTATGACTCTTAAAGTTAGAGGAAGGACTTTCTCAGGTCTAGTAGACACGGGGGATGATATTTTAGTAATAGCCTCCCAGCATTGGTCTAATACCCGGCCCATGCAAGCAACCTCTAGTTCGGCAGAAGGAATAGGTTTTGTGATGGCAGAAGAAATTCGACAAAGTAGTGTGCTACTTAAATGTGAGGGACCAGACGGATTAGAAGGAGTTATCCAGCCTTTCATCTTAAATACCCCCATTAATTTTTGGGGAAGGGATCTCTTGCAACAATGGGGAGCTGAGCTAATCATCCCATAAGTCACCAGCTAATCAAATCATGACAAAAATGGGCTATAAGCCAGGACAGGGCTTAGGCAGACAACATGAAGGAATAAAGGAGCCTATCATTGCCCAAGGACAAACTCATAGGGCTGGACTGGGTTACCCTATTTCTAGGGGCCATTGAGGAAAAGAGGCCTGCCCCTATTAAAATAACATGGAAAACTTCTTCCCCGGTTTGGACTCCTCAATGGCCCCTTCCGATAGACAAATTGCAGTCCTTAGCACAAACTGTTTAAGAGCAATTGCAGGCAGGACATATAGAGCCTTCGCAATCTCCTTGGAACTCTCCTGTTTTTGTTATCAGAAAGAAATCAGGTAAGTGGAGGCCCTTAATAGACCTTCAGAATGTTAATCCCGTCATGGATCTTCTGGGTGCCTTGCAGCTTGGGTTACCCACTCCTACAGCCATTCCCAAACAATGGCCATTGATAATAATAGATCTTAAGGATTGTTTTTATACCATAGCCATTCACCCTGAGGATAAGGAGAAATTTGCCTTTTCTATTCCCAGCACTAACAATAAGGAACAAATGAGACGATATCAATGGACAGTTTTGCCACAAGGCATGACTAATTCTCCTACCATGTGTCAGTATTATGTTGGCCAGGTCCTCAGACCTGTAAGAGATCACTATCCTCAATCCTATATCATTCATTATATTGATGATATTTTGCTAGCGTCACAAACTGAAACTGAATTACAAGATGTGTATCAGGCCACTTCCCAACATTTGACTTCCGCGGGTCTCTTAATAGCCCCAGAGAAAGTCCAGACAACTACTCTGGCTTCTTATCTAGGCACTGTGGTAGATAGAACCACAGTGAAACCTCAAACAATGCAAATTCATAGGGATACCCTCCTTACGCTTAACGATTTTCAGAAACTCCTAGGAGACGTTAATTGGATTCACCCTCTCCTAGGGATTCCAACTTATAAATTACAAAATTTATTTAACACTTTACGAGGTGATTCTGCTTTAGATAGTCCTCGCACTATCCTCAGAGGCAGAGGCCGAACTGCAGTTTGTTGAGGAGCGATTCAAAACTGCCTTTGCTTACAGGTATGATGATTCTCTTCCCCCTGCTGCTTCTTATTTTCCCTACCCCTCATTCTCTGACTGGTGTGATAGCACAAAAAGACAAACCTCTCGAATGGGTGACTTTACATACAAAAGCTTCTCGAACTGTTACTCCATATCTATCTCTTGTCACTTCACTCATTTTCCAAGGACAAAAGCATGCTATTCAAATTCTTGGTTTTGACCCAGTGCTCATTGTTTTACCTATCTCTTCCACATCCTTTAAGGAAGTCTTTCCCTTCTCTACTGATCTGCAAATATCTCTTGCTGATTATACTGGGCGCATAGGTTGCACTATCCATCAGGTAAACTATGGGACTTCCTAAAGTGCACTGCCTGGGTTATAAATCGCGTAGTTCGTAATGCCCCAATCCCCTCAGTTCCTACATACTTTATTGATGGCTCTTCCTCCGGGCACGCCAGAGTCTAGGGCCCTGCTATTCAGAGCTCCATAAAAACCCCTTACACTTCTGCTCAACAGGTCAAACTTGCAGTTTTATTGTTCTTATTGCAGAATGTTCATTATCCTATAAATATCGTATCTGATTCTGCTTACGTAGTTGGCATTGTTGCGCCTTTGGAAACAGCTCTTATTTCTACAATGCATTCTATCATTAATTCTTTGCTTTAGGAATTACAATTAGAAATTCAGTCTCAAACTCACCCTTTTTTCATTACTCATATCCACTCTCATTCTAACCTCCCTGGACCTCTTACACAGGGAAATCAGTCTGCTGATTTATTGGCTACTCCTATTTTTGAAACTCCACAAGAAGAACATGCCCATCTTCATACCAATGCCAGTGGCCTTCATTCACACTATAAAATACCCTTACGCTTTGCCAGGCAAATAGTCTCTTCCTGTCCTATCTGTCGACCTCTACGTTTAATTGAGCATCCAGTGGGCATCAATCCCAGAGGCACAGCTCCTGACTGTATTTGGCAAATGGATGTTCCTCATTTTCCCCCTTTCGGATGCCTCTCATATATTCATGTCACAATAGACACCTTTTCAGGATTTCTTCATGCTACTCCTTTAACGGGGGAAAAGGCTGGGCATGTCATTTCTCAATTGCTTGAATGTTTTGCTATTATGGGGTTACCTGCTTGTATCAAGACAGACAATGGCCCAGCATATACTAGCAAAAAAGTACGAGAATTCCTTGCAGAATGGCAAATACAGCATATCACAGGTATTCCTTATAATCCTCAAGGACAAGCTGTAGTAGAAAGGGCACATGCCACCATTAAAAAACAACTCTATAAAACTATGTCCAAAAAGAAAGGGGGAATCTCTCCCCGAGACGTCATGGCACAAACTTTATTTATTTTAAATTTTTTAAGTTTACCCCAAGGAGAACCATATACTAAAGCTGACAAACATTTCTCGCCAGCCTCAATCTCAACTCAGGACGCACCCGTGTGGATAAAAAATGAGGAAAATAATTGGTTGCCCAGGAAATAAATTATCCGAGGCCCTGGCTATGCTTGTGTCATTCCAGATGGATCCAGTTGAGCAATTTGGATACCTCTTTGGAAAGTCCGGCCCAAGACTGGAGATAAAGATAACAGAAGAGGTCTTTCAGACACTGTAGGGATTGACTACCCAACCCCCTGTCTGAGAGATGGCAACACTCTCCTTGAAGAGACCTCAAAAACAAAAATTGCCCCTGACAACACCCCCAACTTGGGGGCAACTGAAGACCTTCACTCAGAGGGCCAAGCGAGTCCTAGAGATGACCAGATCTACCAAAACCCCTGAACATTTGTTCCTGGCTATGTTAGCGGTGGTGACATGTGCCTCTGTGGTAGGTGAAAAACACACCTACTGGGCATATGTACCCCATCCTCCCTTGTTGCATTTAGTTGAATGGACAGAATATGGACCTACTGTTTTTACAAATGACTCTACTCATCTCCCAGCACCTTGGTCCTCTGTACCCCCATCTAAACCAGAAGAAGAAGGGACTCTTATGAATATCTCTTTGGGATTTGAAACATTACCCTTATGCTTGGGACAGAAAAAAATATGTCTCCCCCTTCACTGACAAACTTGGGCCCATATCCTTCCCCCGACCAAATCATACAGAACCTTGATGGGAATAATGACTGCTTTATCATTTAATTTTAGCGAGGTCAACACAACTAACACACTGGGAAAATCTGATCTACAATCTCCTATAAACATTATGTTTTTGAGCCTATATACTGGTCCCACTGGAGGGGACCCCATGGAAAAATCTTTATGTTAAATAATAGAATGGTGGTAGATTGGGGCCCACATGGGAAGTTTTTAAATAACTGTTCTGAGGATGTGAATAGCACCATATGTGATTACATTACTAATATTAGGTGGACTCACACTGACCACGGTACTTATACCCATCATCATACTAAAGGGTTAATGGCATGGCATGAAGGAGGACTGGCACCTCCTCAGCCTCATTTGGTTACCAATAAAGACCATGTGGGGCTGGAACAGTGGGATCTTTGGAAGCTCCCAGCTGCACTGGCATCCTTATAGTTTTATGCAGGAAATTTCTCAGGGACATCTCAGTCTTGGAGTGATTATTGGTTTACTTACAATTCTTCGATATCCATACAAGCCTGTGTTCATTTACCTTATCTCATTACAATAGGAGAAATAGAAGTTAACTATACTATGAGGAGCATTGATTGTCCCAACTGCCGGTTGTATACTTGTCTTAATCATACCACCCCTTTTAACAGCAGTATGGATTCCATCCTTCTTCTCCAGGCCTGTATGGGGGTCTGGATCCCGGTAAATCTCACAAGAAGTTGGGAAGAAAACCCTGTTGAAGGTCTCTTGTCAAAAATGTTGAGTGAGTTACTTACCCGCGGGCGACGTTTCATAGCTACAATAGTACTTGTCATTCTGGGGCTGACTGGTATTACCACAACAGCAACAATAGCTGGGGTGACCCTGCAAACGTCCTTGCAGACTCACGACTTTGTCAAAACCTGGCAAGAAAAATCACACAACTTCTGGCTCACGCAGACCAAACTGGATAAAGAATTACAATCGAAGGTTAGTGAATTGGAACAAGCTATAAAATGGATAAGGGATCAACTTATTGACTTACAACAGCAGGTTTTTCTTAAGTGTGATTGGAATTCCAGTTCAGTCTGCGTGACTCCCTATCCCTTTAATGCTTCCAAACACACTTGGGAACAAATTAAATATCACTTACAAGACATCCGTGGTAATTTATCCCTAGACATTCAGACTCTACAACAAGAGATGTTTGAGACCTTTAAAAATGCCCTCCCAAAAACTCAATATGGGCAACTAGCCTCCGATATCACTCAAGCTCTGGAAGGTCTGGATCCCCGGGGATGGTGGCAGAGTATCATCCATAGTCTTTAGTAGCTCATTTTTTGCAATTTTAATATGTTGCCTTATATTTCTCATAGGATACAGTACTCTCAAAAAACGAGTGAATGCCCAAAACCTCCATCACAGAGTGCTTACGGCAGCAGCTGTTTTGGAAAAAGAAAGGGGGAGCTGTAGGAAACAGAACACCACAATGACCACTGGTGCATATTCGTTCAGACTCCAAGATCTCTGTTAAAAATAACCCAAAAGGATCAGAGTGAAATGCCCTTGGGATGTGTGTGGTCAGTAAAAAGTACACAGCAGAGGATGTTTTGTAGATAGGAAGCCAGCTGTAAACAGCACACCCTGCATTCCCTTCTTTGTTCTCTTATCCTGTGTTAAGGTCTGAGTACAATGGTGTTTACCATTAATTGATCACAGCCAGTTACAGGTTTCTCTACTCCTCTCCACTCCCACTGCTTCACTTAACTAACCCTGTGTACGGAAGAATGTGCCTTACTAAGCCCCTGCTGTAAATCATTATAGACCTATGTCATTGT